TCTGCAATTCAATTCCATTGTTGCCGTCACTTTTTACCGGTCTTATATATACAAAAAGCGTACATCTGGAGAACACTCGAGGCTTCACGAACAGACATGAATTTTCTAGAAGCTCATGACGTGTTACTAGCGTCACATTACTTCCGCTGTCGTAACAATACTGAAGACAGCGAGCTCTTTCAAGTTGTTTAATGCTATGAAAATTGTAATTTTGGATATTATTTCTAACTAACAGAGACCCGCAAAACATTTACGGTCAAATCAATGTCTTTATTGCAATTGTACTTCTTTGCATACAGGATTTCTAGAATAATACAAAATAATTGTAATAATTGTTGTCTTAGGCCTAACATTAGTTAAGCTTTTATTAATTACGGTCTATATAAGATAAAGAGATAAATTAACACTGTGACTTTTTTTGCTTTAGTTTAGTTAGGGCTAAACTTTACCGTACTTAATACAATCAATAAATATATGTAAAACGTTATTCTACGACCTAACATTAGACCTTTTTAAAAACTTTGATAAGCTTTTAATATGTTTACTGAAGTATATTTACATGCACCTTTTGTTTACATCTGTTGAAATGAAGTACGCGACACGCGCATTTAGATAGTAAGGTGCGCGCGCATTTTCAGAGCAGACAAAAGTTGAGTATTATTATAATACCAAGGGATACGGTTTTCCTTATATGATGTGTTAAGGTCGTCGCGAGAACGAGGCTGAGCATTTTCACGAGTAAACAAAGCAGATACTCTTCATTCATTCTACCCCTAACTACAACCATCACATAAGTCATCAGGCAGTTAAATATAAAGATCCACACATAAATATAACTCATCAAACCTCACTACATTCAAAGGTAAGGTTTAAGAGTGCATTTGTGTCTTTTAAGAGCAAAATAAATGGGATAACAACAGCCCTATTGGCGATAATAGAAGCTTTTTTAGGCCTATATTATAGTTAACAACCAGCTCTATACTTTACATCTGGCTGTACATGAACAAACATATTCCATATAACTTGGAGCTGCCCCTTTTCATCAGCCCTCCAGTGGCACAGCGGTATGTCTGCGGACTTATAACGCTAGAAACCGGGTTTCGATACTCGTGGTGGGCAGAGCACAGATAGCCCATTATGTAGCTTTGTGCTTAATTACAAACAAACCCTTCTCATTATATTCTAATGTTTATGTTTCAGAATATATTTACAATACCTAGGACTTAAAACAGGATATAATACAAACATAGGGAAAGGTTATAGGTTGGTGTATCTGGATTTTCAGAAAGCATTTGACAAGGTGCCACATAAAAAGCTTGTAAAAATTATTTCTATAGGAGTGGGAGATAAGTTAGCTAAGGCTGGATGGAAAAAAAAAGCAGAAATGGAGTGTAGTCATACCGAATTAATGTCACAAGTGGAGTACCTCAGGGCTCAGTCTTAGGACCTTTGCTCTTTTTGACTTACATCAATGACATAGATGAAGGAAGGGTCAATAAATTACTTAAATTTGCTGATGATATTAAGGTAGTTGTTGTTGCTGGCTGTGAGGAGGATGCTGCTGCTTCACAAAATGATTTAAATCATTAGTGAGTTGGGTGAATAAATGGCAGATGTGTTTAAATTCTAATAATTGCAAGATAATGCATGTGGGTTATCATAATTTTAATTGTAAGTATAATTTGGATGGAAATAACCTTAATACTGTCAAATGCTTTCTGAAAATCCAGATACACCAAATCTACACCCTCACCCCATCTACGTAAGCAGTAACCTTTTCAAAAAATGTCAAAGGATTTGTAAGGCAAGGTTTTTCCTTTAGTGAAACCGTGTTGACTAATCAATAAAATTCTAAACTTTGTTAAATGATTTTGAAATGTATCTTTTATCAGACTTTCCAAAATATTTCCTACACCTGATGTAAGACTAATAGTAATAGGCCTATAATTACTGGGTGATAATATAGTGTAACAGGTAATTATTGGCTTCAATGCTCTGTTATCATAATGATTCCATAAAGTTAACGTTACAATTTTTTTCGAATAATTTAACATAACAAAGTGATTTGATGGCATACAAATGGGTATTTAAGCACCTTCACCATACCTTGTCAAAAGCCGCATGTTGGTTTGTTTACTCGTCAAAATAAACGCGGTCAATATGGTCGCCGAACCGTGTACCTGTGTACAGATATGAAATATCAGCAGTGCCCGAAATAGACAAAAAAGTAACGAATTGTTAGTGTATTATACTAATAAAGTCTCGACATGAGGTGTTTTTATTGTTCTCCCTTTTCTCGATTTGAATAAGCAAAATAAAATTAATAAAAAAACGCTTTTTTACTATTTGAGTATAATCATAGACTTAAATTGCTGTTATGGTGTTTTTTGCAAGCGTTAGGTTAATGAATGTTGATAATAAAGCGTTAACTCTTTATAAATATTAGTTTTATTATAATCAGTCTGTATGATAATATTAAATATGTGAATGGTCTCAACTTATAGCCTCGGGATCATAGATTGGTGGTTTCTTCATTTAACTTCATCTGAGCCCTTGCTTCGTCAGTATTACCAGCCTGATGCGCTACTCTGCCTGTTAGCTTCTCCTTTAGCCACTAAACTGTGTGAAGATATCTTGGTCAGACTCAGACCTCTTTCCTCGTTACCCTTTGCTCTGGATTTGAGTATTAAAAGCAAAGATATCGAAGCCACTGATAAAAATCCTTCACCAATAATACCGATAACGTTCTCTAAAGAGTCTAAAGTAATCCAAAAACCACAATCTGAACCTTCTGGTTATCAGTATGGTGTGGTTGATGAAGAAAAAGCTTTATTTTTGAATCGTTCCAAGAAACATATTCATCCTATAAGCCATACAAAAAATGTATCTACAACACTATATTCTGATAACAAACCTTCCAAAGCATCTTTCTTGCACAACAGTGGCAAGAAAGAAACTGTTATCAGGCAAGAGAAACTAACGAATAATGAAGTATTAAAAACGAATTACCTCCATAAAAATAAACAAATTTATAATAATTATGAACAAGATGCAGCGACGAATCTAGAACCACTCCTCAAGAAAGAGTCCGATGTTGATGAAGCTCGTGAAATAAATTCATCTGTACAGCTGTATACAGATTCGGCAAAAGACATTTTTCAAAGAGCAGTTGATTTAGCTTTCCCTTCAACTCCGACACGTGAGAGAGAAGCTCGTGAGCTGTGTATTTTAGCAGGAGATACACACTGTAAAAAAAAACATGATACCGACTTATTTATTAACCATACCAAAAGAGAAAACAGATGTAAAAAAAATGTTCGGGAAAAAAATAATATGTTTTCTAAAGCTGGATCAAAAAATAAACAGACTGGTGAAATGGAAGATTATTTTAAAGATTTAAAACTAGAATGGGAGCAGTTGATATCCTCACCCAATAGCGATGGTCAGAATCCGACTAAAACAGTAACACCAACTATGTCCAAAGGTCTTCCTTTACAATCACAACCAATTGTTGATAAGCTCTCTGAGATATCGGGAAGTCCACGGTTGTCGCGACGAACAGCAGCAGCTAGAAAAGTCAAAACGTCATCCCCAACTTCTTCCCACGCTGAAACTTTCTCCAAGAAGCAAACTCCCATACATAATAAAAATTCTCCCAAACAACTTACTTCTAAAGGATTTCGAGAACCCGTTAAAGGATCAGCTGTGATGAAACCAATAACTCGTACTCCAAGAGGCCCACCGAATCCCACAGTTAAGCAAGTTATTACAACAAACAACATGCCAGCTATCTCTACGAAACAAAAGGGGGTTGTTTCCACTCCAAGTTCTCCAAGTCGAAAACCTAATCCAAGAAGGGCTTCGGGTAATGTAAACTCGAGTGCTTCAAACTCGTCTAATTCCGCCAAGCACTCTACTCCCTTAAATGCATCAGGACCCAATGAGTCCAAACAAAACCCAGTTCGAAAATCTCTTATTCCAGTGCAAAGAGAAAACCGAGCCTCTTCTGGTCAACAGAGAAGGACCACAAAGCATAACGCAGTTGGATTTTCCCAATCCTAAGACAGAAGATCGGAGCCATAGCAGGTCTGTGGTGATTGCATTATATAAAGTGATATATGTGTGTGTATATAAAAGTTTTGGTTTGTGGAAAATATAAGATTATATTATGTACAAACACCATTTCAATGTTGCTGTTTCTTGTATACGTATTAGTGGAATATACTATGCTCTAGCAGCCATGATAATCTCGTATGAAACCTACAAACAATTATGTTTTCAGCTCAATTAAATGTAAACGTGAGGAAGTTTACTTGATGTAATGTACCATGCACAGTCCAATTAAATATACAAACGTGAACAATTTGACATGACGTAACACACCATACCCAGTCCAATAAAATGTAAACACGTGAACAATTTGACATGACGTAACACACCATGCCCAGTCCAATAAAATGTAAACGTGAGGAAGTTTACTTGATGTAATGTACCATGCACAGTCCAATTAAATATACAAACGTGAACAATTTGACATGACGTAACACACCATACCCAGTCCAATAAAATGTAAACACGTGAACAATTTGACACGACGTAATATACCATGCCTAACATGTAAGCCTATGCATGTTTTAATACAATTATAATGAAATGTGTTGCTTCTAAAATGCTTATTGAAATCCAACAAAAACAACCTGCCAGAGATATATATTTGCTTTTTAAAGGTTTGGATGACTAATTAAAAAGAATATCATTGTGGTTGATATTAAAATAGATTGTTTCATATACATATACATATAACGTATTTCGAATGTCTTGTTTATTTTTAACATCTTTAGATTTGTCACGTGACCTGGACATTGTGACATCTAACAGAAGAAAAGGTATACATACGAAGGAACGTTACCGATAAAAACTAAAAGGCATAACGAATGATGACTGCGTGGGATGTTAAATTAGAAAACCAGAATATTACTCATACTGCTGTACATGTATGATTTACGAAACCACACTTAGTTTGTATGACTCTAGTAATACCCCTACTATTTCAGTTTATTTTCAGTTAAACTCACTTAGTGAAGAGAAATGTATGTATGGTTGCATTTTTCTTGACGTGTTGTATTTTAATAAGTGTCTTTATCGTACTCGTTATATTAGTGAAACATAAAGTGTATATATATTTATAGAGGATATCGTTAAGTTCTTCAAGTTAAGCCAGTAGATGCCCGCAATGCAGTTTCCCGAATCGATCCCATAAGCTTAGCTGCAAACATGCTCTGTTACTGTGTAAGATATTGAAGATAATTTAGTGTTCACTCGTGTCGATATATATATATAGTGAAAGTGATGATTAATATTCCTTAAGGATATTTGTATTTTGTTGATATTAAGTTCCAATGAGACCAAGCTGCCTAGTTAAAGTACAATTAAAATCAACCTGGTAACGAGTATAACTAATTAAATATACTCTTATTACCATCTTACTTTTGAAGGTTAGAATGCATTGTTTCATCGTTTGAGTACCCTCGCTGTTAACGATATTTTCGGCCATAAACCCAATAATATCCTACGAGGCTCAGCCAGCTTGGGAGATTTAGATTAGTCTTAAATTCATATATTTAGCTAACATTACAAAACAATCTCCAAATCAGAGAGTATAATAATAGAAAAAAAATGACAACCAATCAAACTAGATGTATTAAACATTATTTCATCTATAAACACTTTTTTCAAGCGTTTTATAGATTGGACTACACTTTAAGAAAATATATTAGGTGTCCATAAATCTTGGTATTTGGTAGCAAAACATGAAAACGTCATTAAAATTTATCGCATTTAAAATAGAAGATAAGGGTCAGTCACTGTCTTATGCTTAACTTTTCATTTTATTACTGTCATTAAAACACGACTTACAGAAAAGTGCAGGCACATTATTTTATATAAACTGATTAAACAGCAATATATTTTGGGCACTATGTATGAATTGAAGGTATGAAACCAGGTATGTAGAAGTCATAAAAACTTGAATGGTACTATGTTTTAATTTTTCAGCTTAAACGAATTTAAAATAATTTCATTTTTAATCATATTTTGTTACTATTTGCAGTTGAAAAAGTTCGATATTAGCTGAAAATTGCTCTATTAAAAATCATGCACCGACGTTTTGCACATTTGTAGATGCTTTAATGTGTTTAAATATTCATGAAAATAAATCTCCAGAAGACAAATTAATAATGAACAACTTATTTAGGAGATGGGGCGCACAAGGTCCTTTTGAACCAGGGACACAAAAAAGTTAAATTATAGATATAATTCTAACTTGAAGAAAATATATTTAATGTACATAAGTAATGTCAATGTAGTAATGTCACTGATTTTTAGAAAGTGTATCAATTTAAAGACCTTTAGGCCATTTAATTAAAAAAATATTACATCATTACAAAAGATTTCCATATCTTTGTGGAGCAGACAAAGTATTATTTTGTTTGATGTTTCACTACTTATAAGAAATATATTTTTGTCAATATAAATGCTTTGAGCGCTGAACAAAACAACAGAGTGTAATATTCAGCATCCTCTCTCTCTTCTCCGGATCGGGATTTAGGTCGTTTTTACGACCTGGGAGGGTCAGGTTCAGGTAGACCTCTTCCTCCCTTCTGTACAGTTGTTATAGTTTTTCTTTGATTCAGGTTTTTTGGTTCAGGCTGGTTTGATGATTTCTGTTAGTACTTTCCTTTTCAGGGCCATGTCCGTTTTATGTTATCAAGTTGTGTATGTGTGTG